GCCAGTGACACTGTCCTCCACAGCTAAGATGCTGAACAACAGCTCAACGTGGAGCTGGGCTGCTGTGAGTCGCCGGCGACGGCGTAGGCTGCAGCCCCTGTAGCAGTGGGTTGCCATGGGCTACCGTATGTAGCCAGCAGCCAGCTTGAGCGGCCAGCAGCCGCCGTGAGCGGCCGTCCAGAAGCCGGCAACTGATCTGCCTCACCCGGGAAGAGCGCAATGATGGTGCCAACTTGGGCCAGTGAAGCAACGTCCTCCACAACTAGACTGAAGAACAAAACGACAGCAACTTGTCTGTTCCCCTTCCCCCAATTCCCCAGCACTGTTCCCATCCCCCCAATTCCCCAATAAAAATCTTTTAAAAAAAAAAAGAAGTCTATGCCTTCTTCTCCCTGTGCTAGAGTCGAGCTCTCCCCTAAATCACCATGTGTAGAACCCAGCCTCTATCAGGTTGGGTCCCCCTACCCATGGCTCTGGAAAAAAGGCTGTGGGCACAAGGGTGCCAGCAGCACACCCCATGTGGTGCCAACTGTCTGTCACGACCTCCTATTGCCACCAGCACAATCCATGGGCACCGAGAGTGGCAGCTGTACAGGGTTCCCACAGCAGAGGCAAGGTAGAACAGGCCATCCAGGGTGACAACCTGACCACTTCCCCCAGGACAACTGAGGACTTCACTGCCTCCCCAGATGTCCCCATTCGGCCTGTAAACAACTTAATTCCTCTGCCTTTCTGACTCTGTCTTAGAGAATTGCATCTTTCGAAACCTCCCCTGCAGGAGAGCAAAGGCCAGCCCTGGGCATAAGAATTGACCCTGGTGTGTGAGCAGGAGAGAATCCTTCATGTTTATTTGTGGGGAGCAGGCTGTGAGCTGACAGGGTCCTCACAGCCTGTGGAACAGTTCGGGGAACGTTCCACTCCCACTGACCCAAGAAGAGAAAAGAATAGCTAACGCCACAGGCACCTCTGCAAAATGCATAACAAAATGTAACCTGCTTGTGCACTCTGAGAAGCTGCTTACTGCTCCCTGCAGCTTGCTACTATATAAGCACTGTGCAAAAAATAAACGAACCCATTGCTCCGCCATCAGCGGTCAGTGGACCTCCTGATCCCAGCTTTTGTCTCTGTGTCTTTCTTTTCTAAATCTCCCACCCAATCCACTCGGATAGCTTCAGTTGATGAGCTGGTCTCGTCATTTATTTGTCCCCATTTTAGTTTTAGATCACAGACCATGGTTGGCTGGATTGATGATAAATAGCTGCCTGCCAATCCAGGAAGTCACCTCCCCCAGGTTTCAAGCTCCACAGGACTCCTTTCTGTGGCTATGAGAAGGGGCTGAACATCTAACTACCCTTCCTTCCTACTAGAATGCTGGCTTCATGAGGGCTGGGATGTTCATCTGTTTGGTCCACTGTTGAATTCCAAAAACCATGAAGAGTGCTTGGTACATAGTAGAGGCACAATAAATATTTCTTGATTGAATGAATATGGATGAAAAGTAAAATGCTTCAAGTAGATTTAGTGGTTATGAATATTTAGACATAAAACAAAAGTAACCTGAAATATAATACATAAATCAAAAGCTATTAGAAATGTGAGAGTGTGGAGGCAGCTGAATGGCGCGTTGGTTAAGAGCTGGCTTGGGACACCAGCTCTGAGCAGCAGGTCCCGGTTCTGATCCCACATGAGGGCCAGTGACACTGCCCTCTACAGCTAAGATGGTGAACAACAGCTTGACCTAGAGCTGGGCTGCCATGAGTCACTGGCGATGGCGTAGGCTGCAGCCCTGTGGGTGCCATAAGCTACCATGTGTGGCTGGCAGCCGGTGTGAGCTGCCAAGAGCCGCGATAAGCGGCCGTCCAAAGGCCGGTGACTGATCTGCCTCGCCCGGGAAGAGCGCAATGATGATACCAACATGGGCCAGTGAAGCAACGTCCTCCACAACTAGACTGAAGAACAAAAGGACAGCAATTTGTCTGTTCCCCTTCCCCAATTCCCCAATAAAATCTTAAAAAAAAAAAAATGTAAGTGTGTGACAAAATGATACACACAGATAAACGTTAAACATGAGAAAGTTTTTTAAAATCCTTTTAGAGAAATTGATAGGTTTAGCATATAAATTATAAACAAGGATATAAAATATCTGAATAATGAAAATTATAAGCCTAATATAATAAATATGCCTGTGAAACATTTATAAAAAGTGAGTATTCACAAGGCCACAAAGAAAATCTCAGTAAATTCCAAAAATGTAGACATATTATTTAATACTGGCTCCTACTTTTTTTGTATAAGCTAGTTTCCTAGCTTAAAACCTTAAAACAAAAAATAGAAGTACATACAAAGAAAACAATAAACACTCTCAAAATACCTTTATTGCTATAGATGCAAAATATCAAGGAAAAACCAGCAATATATTAAAAGAATAACATGACCAAATAGATTTCTATTCAAAAAATGCAAAAATAATTGATCATTAGAAAATTATTAATGTAGTTTATTATGCTAACAGGTAAAAGGACCAAAATTTTTATTAATATTTTGATAGATGCTGAAAACGTACTTGATAAATTAAGACCCATTCCTAATTTACAAAATAACCCCTGGTGATTTGGAATTGAAGGAAATTTTCTTCACTTAATAAAAGCTAATTACCAGAAATCAACAATAAGCTGCATAGTGCAAAAGTGGAAATAGTCACATTAATGTCAGAAACAAGACAAGTATGCCAGCTATCACTGCAACTAATCAACAATGTTCTAAAGGTCTTACCAATCCAATAACAAATAAAAAAGAAATAAAGTATAAATTTCAGTTATCATTACTTGCAAATAATTTTGTTTATCCAGAAAACACAATGCAAAAAACTAGAAAAATATACAAGAACTAATCAGAGCTCTTATGTACGCATTCAATAAAGTGGTTAATACATGATCAATATAATATCCTTAATTTCATATCTTATTAAAAGGACATAATGAGTTTCCAGTTAAAAGAGTTAGATTCAATGCACATATTCATGTCTGCTTTCTCCAAAAATCTATGATAGTAAAGAAATAAAAATTAAAAAAAAACATAATGCCAAAGCGAATGGGAGAAGAAGAATCAACAGCAGACAAGAAATTTCAACAAAATTTGGAAGCTGGCTGTGGGTGGTAGCTGACTCAGCAGAACTAAGAAAATGGAGCTCTACTTGCAGTAGTGGGAGGAGTGAATAAAAATCAGGACAACCCTGGTAAAATCAGAACTCAGAAGTATCTATTACCTCTAAAGGCAGAGATGCAGGGCAGACTGAAAACGGGGGAACTCGCTCACCCACCCCTTCCTCTACCTCCTGTAACCAGGCAATGCCCCATAGCTGCCTATACTGCAGAAGGGCGGTTTATATCCAGAGAGGCCCACAGAGCCAGACTAAAAACAGAGACCAATCTCTCTACCAAACAGTGAGATACCCAGCCCCCTTCTCTCTCTGGGGCCTGTACACTGCTGGCAGCTGAGCTTCTATTTCCCAGGCAAAATATTGGAGAATTCCTTTCTGAGGAGCCTCCCACAGCCCTTGGATTAACTGAAATTAGAAATGCAGGGTTGCTCCAATGAAAAATCCAACTAGCCCCTCATGCCCTAAAGTAGAACCCACCAGTCACCAAGCCTGTCCCACAAAGTTCTAAAATTTTTTGAAAAAGTTAAAGGGGGACTTGCCCTATTGGATAGCCAGACGTATTATAAAACTACAATAATTAAAACAATGTGGTTCCAGTAAAGGAAAAGGGAGCTCATTAGAATGTAATCAAAAGTCCAGAAACAAGCTCGTGAATTTAGTATTTGAAAAAGTTGACTTCTCAAGTGAGTGAAAAATAGTAAGTTATGATTTAATGATATTTAAGAAAAAGTAGATGCCTACTTCATGATATTCCAGAAATAAATTCCAGATGGCTTAGTAATGTAAATGTAAAAAAACTCCATAAAAGTGCTAGAAGAAATATAGTAAAATGTTAGTTATTTCAATCTTGGGATAGAGGAGGAGTTTCTAAAATTGATAAAAATCTAAGAAACCATACAAGAAAAAGTCAAAGGAAAAGAGGAATACAAACAGATTAAAGTCTTGGCTAGCCAAAGATATCATACAAGATAGAATAGGTTTTCATTTCTGATCAACACGGAGTGACTGGACTGGCCTTTTTGCTGTAAGCAACTAGAAAACTGGACAAAATACATGAAATGATTGTTTTCAGACATTGGACAACAGGCAGAGCAAAACTGTGATCTGAGTTCCTGGATAGTGAAGCACACCTGAGCCCATGACCCCCCCCCGCCCTGGTTTTCCACCTGGAGTCTCTTTCCAGACCACAGTGCAGGGAGCAGGGTCCCACACAGGGCATGACAGTCACACTAAGCTGGAGAGAGAAAGATGGGAGCCTGGGGAGACAGAGTGTGCTAAAATTTCGTCAAGGGTCTGAAGGGGAGGGAGCTATGCCAAGAAAGAGCTCCAAAAATCTTCCTAGGGTTCCCTGCGCATACATAGGAGGGGACTCTACAGGCGGGGCAAAGCACTGCTGTAGAAATTCTCTAAATGGAGCTGACAGAAACTTGAGTCCCTGGGAGGGTGAATGGGGTCACAAGACAAGGCCAAAGCCAGAGATACGCCTCTGAGAGTTAACAGTCTGAAAATGAGATGCAGCCAACCACAGGAGAGAAATAAGTTTTTGGAGTGATTTAAAGACCTGGAAAACTCCAGCTCCAGCCCCATCTGAAACAAAGGAAATTCAGAGAACAGCCGGGATGGCTATGACATCCTGAGAACTTGGACCATCTATGGTGTCCCTGTCATTTGTGTTAAACCTCTGCTGCTTTCCAACAAACTAATTAAACGTTCCTAGCTACAAAGCCCTTAGACAAAGATGTGCTTCTTTCAGGGCAGAAAGGACATTGAGGAAGGAGAGCCAATCCAAGGAGAAGAGAGTGTGACGGCTGCCGCAGAGACAAGTACAAAGCTTTTGTCCATCCAATGAGTATTTATTGAGACCCTTGGGACCCGCTGTCTGACAGGCCTGTGCTGGTTGCTGAGGGGGATACAGAGGCACAGCAAGGCTCTTGCCTTGAGGAGCTGTCAGTGCCACTGGGTCACTTGAGGTAAGCATGTTTGAAGGGTGAAATAAAAGTATAGAGCAAGAAACACAAATGGAAAGCCCCAGAGAACAGGCTGGGTTCAGAGGCTCACAGGACATCATTGGTGGAAAGGGCCCAGAGCTAGCAGTGGCAGTGACTTCTCCTTTACGGCCTGCCTCAGGCCACATCCTGGCTGATAGGCTTCTTGCAGATCCACTGATAGAGGGAGTTACAGTTCATGTCATTCCACTTCTGCTGAGTATGGACACAGTCTTCAGTCTGCCCATCTTTGTGCCGCCAGTTGTCTGGCTGGTTATCGTGCCAAAACCTGGAGAGGAGAGGGCTTTATTCTGCTAGATGAAGGAAGAGGCCCTTTCCCCCACTGTGGCATAAGGAGCTGAAGTGACATGGGTCCCTAATCCCCTGGTGGCCCCAGGATGGGAACAGAGCCGGGACCAGAGTCACCATGAGGGTGGCTCTGCTGAGGTTGTCCTTAGTTATTGAGGATCAAAGGACAGGAGGGATGTCTGAAGCTGTAAGCCCCCACCACAGAAGTCACATTCAGATACCCTGTGATGAGGGCAGGGCCCCTTGGGACCAAGCCTATGTAGGATATAGATAGGCAACAACAACAACAAAAAAAAACAAACAGGAAAATTCACTCATATGCAGCCTGCCAACCCCCGGAAATGTCCTGTTCTGACACCCCTCTGTGGGGGGGTCCAGGCAAGGATCACAACTATACCCATTTATACACACACATGCGCATATGTGCGCACACACACACAGACATCATACACATCACACATATCATACACACATCACACACAGCCATGCACACACACTACACACACATACCATACATATATCACATCACACACTATACATACACATCATACACACCACACACACATCATATCACACACATACACACACACACATACACAATCATACACACACTATACATACATATCGCACACACATACCATACACACATCATAACACACATACGTCATACACAGATATCACACACACAACATTAACACTTAACTGGACAGGTTTACACATACAGGACAGGGACACACAAGAACCTCTAATCAAGCCTGCCTGAGGCCACGCCTGGGGCAGCATGGTCTAGCTGGACTTACGATCTGCTTTGGGCAGAATTGAATGGTGTCCCATCTACCCAGCGCCAGGAGCCCTCACTTCCGCTGTCAGTGAGGCCAATCCAGTGGTAGGTGTTTTTCATGAACTGTACCAGATATGCCTGTTGAGAAAAGGCAGTGTTGTTTGACCTGTGCGAGGAGCTGGTTCTCCAAGCCATGTAGAAGAGGAGTTCAGGTCGTCCCCTCCAAGTCCTGGGGGCATGGAGACCACTCCTCTGAAGAAGCTGGGCCCCTCCCTGTGCCTTCCATGGTTTGTCCAAGATCTAGGGCAACAGCCAGGTCCCCTGAAGGGAAATCTAGCTTCCCCCATGTGCACTTGATGAGGAGTGTGGCTTTCCTGGGGAAAAGGGATCTGGCCACAGTTTATTAAGAAAATTTGTTTTGCAAAATAGTATGACCTTTGACAAACATACAAGAACAGTCTCGGGAGAACCACAAGGATGGACAGTTCTGTTAGTTGAATTTAGACCAAACCTATTGTGGTCCTTTGTCAATAACCCTAGTAAATTCTGATAAGGACCCTCAGTTGATGGGCCACCCAAGGACTATATGGCCTTTGGTGGTCCTCAGACTTCCTACGTGCGTGTCTGGCCTTCCCAAGAAGCCTGGGTCTCCTGCTCGTGGGCACTCCACAACCACTGAATTAACTGACGTTAAAATCAAGATTGACAACTAGAGAAGAGGCTGAGGGGCTAAACGAGGGGATAAGGAGGGAAGTATGCTCCCAACACTCTAAGGGCAATCATCTGGTGTCACCCCCCTTTGTCCTTCCTCACTGCTGACATCTGCAGGCCTCTGGGTGTCTTCCTTATTCATTGAGGACATCGGGGTTTGCTGTCAGCACTTCTCCCTCCAAAGCAAGATGCTCATTGGAACTCAGTAAATATAATATTTGCTCCCTTACTGACCGAAGTGACATGAAGGTCTCTGCCATGCCTGCTCCAAGAGGGCGAAGGCCAAAGCACCAAAGTCCTTTATCCCGCACCCACCCCATCAGCACCACCTCAAGTCCACAGCTCTGACCTGCTCCTCCGCAGAGGTCACTGAGACCAGGTGGGCTCCATTGGACACACAGAACTTCTCAGCCTCGTGCCACGATTTCTTGTCATTAGAAAAGTAATACACGTTGCTGCTGTAGGCCTTCCAGCCATGCAGGATCAGCTGGAGAAGTTGATCTGGAACAAAGGTTTGGGAGGAGAGAAAGCCAGGGACTGGCTGTGGAGGTCCAAGAGCTGGCCTTCCTGGCCTCTCCAGGGACTGACCACTGAGAGTCACAAGCCCATGCAATGCTTGATGCCCAGTGCTCCAGGTGCAAGGTCCAG